AGTCCGCCACGTCAAAAAAAATAAAAATAAAATTATATTCATGCTTTGATAAGTCAGACTTTAAAAGTCATAATTATGCGATGAAAAGTCGAAATTATAACATGAAAAATCAAAACTATAAGGTAAAAAGTCGAAATTATAACATTAAAAATTCATAACTATGAGATAAAAAGTTGAAATTATGAGATGAAAGGCCAAAAATCTCTATTATCATAATTTTTTTTTTTTTATTCAAATATTATGACTTTTTAATTCATAATTTAGACTTTTATTTTAAAATGTCGAGTTTCTAAGCCATAATTCTTATGTTTTATCTCATAATTATGAATTAGTATGTCAGTTTCGACCTTATAAGTCATAATTTCAACTTGGTAGGCCTATGTCAAGTCATAATTTCTCATTAGTCATAATTATGACTTACCAAAGCATGATTATTTTTTTCTTCTTACATGGTGCAAACGGGCTTCCATACCAAAGAGACCGAAAATTTCAAGTCCCCATGAAATCAAAATTAAAGTTTTTTAGGTGTTAGTATCGATATGTTAGTCTTAAGGTTATCTATAAGGCAGTGTGCTCCAAAACAGTGACAAAATTCGCATTTAGAAGATATAAGCATTCAAAGCTTGCAGTTCGTCACTTCCGACAAAGCGGCTCAACGATTTATTTGACGTCACATTGTACTTCAGCTTCTCATCAAACTTTCTGTCCAATCAAATGCTCTCTAGAATCCGAAGCCCCGCCCCCTACACTATAAAATAGTCGCTTGTCCACAGAATTAGTATTTTCTGTACAGTGAATGGCACGTAGTGCACTATATAGGGGACAGGGAACGATTCAAACAGTGTAAATATGCTTCCATTGAGTCTGGTTTGGCGCTGTGTCACGCTAACCACCGCACCGCACACACACTCTGCTCCGGTCCAGAGACATGATAGCATTGAGCGGATCACATGTGCGAGTCGCCGCAGACCACAAAATGTATCAGCGCTATTTGAATTCTACACAGAATGCTATATTTTATAGCAATATGGATGAGATTGTGGCTGGCATACCCTGTGGCTTTACGGAGCTCAACGGCTCTGAACGGCTCTAGCCCAAGCGTTGATATAAACGAACGCTATTGGCTATTTTAAAAAGAACATTATTTTGTGTATTTGGTGTAATGAAATTAAATCGTCCTCTTTTGGAAGGCATAACAAAGTAGTTTCGCTTTCACAACGAAGCACACAGCTCTTCACGACATGGCTGCAGCTTCAACAATATACAGCGAGAATAAAAGTTACGCTTCTTTCTTTGCGTGAACATTTGGGCGGCGTTATGCAAATCTTCCCACATAGTGATGTAGACATGTGGGGGCGTGTTAGAACGAGCCATTTTAGGTAGGCATGGCTGACTCTTAACTTTTATAAAGAATATCTCTTTGGATTTGAGACTTTAGTCTTTGCAACTTTACAGATCTTCTTTATGCACCAAGAGCTTGTAACACTCCAAAGAGAAAGGAAAACTTGAAATCGCATCATATGACCCCTTTAATGCATGTGTATAGACAGCAATAGTATATTTTATGAGGAGCAATTCAGTGTTCATTGCTCTCTCGTTTCTGAAGGATAAGAATCACGAGTCGTGTTTCTCTGTAGCTCAAGACTCTCGACGTCACTTGAGAGTCGTTGTAGGATTTATTCATGAATTCTTGCACCTGGTCCTCCTGGAAAGATGAGAACGATGCAACTTCTTTAAATAAACCCTCCAGGTGTGTTTCGAGCTCAAACTAGCACACTAGATAATGCAAAAAGGAGAATGAGATTAAACTGCTTCTTATTAACCTAAGAAAACACAAAACATGCACTACAGATTTATGGCAAATTTAATTGCCATTTGGTAATTATTTATAGATATAATTTTATAGATTGCACTTTTATGGAAATATTTGCAGTTGGTTTGTATAACGTGTCATTATGGGCTTTTCGAGCGATTCGAATCAATGAGTCATTTTGCGAAGCAATTGATTCAGACTTTGGTAAACTTTAGTTTCACCCACCATCACCAATCAGAATTATTATATTCGAGTAATATTGTTTTTAGCATGAGAAAAGAGCAGTATTTATTGGAAAAGTTGCATTCACAGGCATCGAGAATGCGCGTCAAATAAACATGCTTCAAATCATTTCTATTGTTATTCCACTGCACAGGAAAGACATGACCAGTAGGGTGCAGTCATATTTCATTTTTGAATAAACAAATAAAATAAAACCTTTTTGAAGCTTTTACAGTAATCAATTGAACCAATTGCATTGAAAATTCAGTTGCATTGCAATTGTGAAATCGCGTGATTTCGTGGTTTGATATGCGTCGATACATTTGTTCGAAACAATTGATATGCAAAGGTTTCGAAGCTTCACCAAACAGTGGCTCATTCTGTTGCGTCGCTTCACTGTATATAGTAGGCGAAAAACAGTAAGTGAGGCGAGTAGTATGTCCGAATTCATAGTATTCGAAAAAAAGTAGGCGAAAAGTACCCGGATGCTAAATAGCTTATGACGTCATCTAGCGAATTTTCAAGTGGGATTTAGCTACTTTCCATTGAAATTTTCTAATAAACACTGCTCTTTTCTCGTGCTAAAAACTAATTTTACTTAAACGTAATAATTCCGATTGGTGATGGTGGCCGAAAGGACCGTTTTTACAATGGCACGTAATTTTCACAACTCACAATTTTCAAAACTGACTACTTCAGTTCCTCACAGCCTCGTTTTCAATCCTTCAATCCAGAAATTAAACACGGCGCAGATAAGATCTATGGAGAAAGATGGTTTTGTGCATAGAATGGCGTAGGATAGTGCCAACCAAGACATCGTTAAATATCGCTGTGCCCTAGTAAAATATTGATAAATCGGTAACACTTTACAGTAAGGTTACTGTAAAGTATATGAACAACACATCTACAGTATTTATTAAACTTAGTTCATATTATTTTCAACATTCACTAATGCATTATTAAAATCAAAAGTTGTGCTTGTTAACATTAGTTAACGCACTGTGAATTAACATGAACTAATAATGAATGACTGTATTTACATTAACTAATGTTATCAAAGATTACTGTAATAAATGTATTGTTCCTTGTTCATTCATGTTAGTTAATTAATGAATCTTATTGTAAAGTGTTACCGATAAATCTTTACATGTGAATGAATACACTGACCTGAGAATCATTTTAACTGCTAATATTTCAGCTTAATTCATGTGTGTTTTCTATCGGTTTAGAATCACAACAATCCCAGATTTGCAGATTAATCTGTTTTTTTTGATAATCGGTTACACGATTCAGTTCGATTCATTCGAACAGTTCACTCGCGCACTGAATCGTTTGGATATTTTATAAGAACACATTTTAAAACAAACAGAGCGCTGGATTAGGTGGATATTTACCTACAATCAGTTTGTAGAAAACAAAACCTGTAAACGTCTTCTATCGGTTGACGAAGCAGTTCTTTATTGCGCGTGCAGCTTGTGAACGATTCTGTGCTGCAGATAAGAATTATTATATCCTTTTTTACCCAAAACGCTTCATCTGTAAAGCATCTGCTGTGTGCAAACATCTGATAGACGTCTGTAAGATGTCAGTTTTACATGCATTCTAGAGCAGGGATGGGCAATTGGCGGCCCGCAGTGTCTTTTAGTACGGCCCGCTGGATCATATTAGACTCGGATGTATGAAGGTAGAATGACGTCAAAAAGATTTGCATACGCAGGGTAAGAGTTGTGGAAGTGTACATAAGACTGTAAGCGTAAAATAAATTTGTATGCGTAAGAGAAGCTTTGTAAAGGTGTAAATCGTGTTTCAAGCGCAAGAAAAAATTATTTGCAGCATTTTACTGTTAGTCGTAAGTGTAATTCATGTATTGTGAAACTGCAGCTTCATGCTAACGCAAAATAAATATGATCTGCATGCTTCTGACTTCCATTTTTCCGCGCTTACACTTTTGGCACGTTTTTTGCGCCAAAAGACGGTCAAAAGCACTGCAAGCCTGTGAACAGTGATTTGCAAGCGAAAACAACAGTTTAAAGAACTGCAAAACGGATTGACTGCGTAGAACCAGTCTGTATGTGTACAAAACTAACTGTTGCAAATGTCTAAATGACTTGTTGTGCATGTGGGGCAAAAAGTTCCCGAAATAAACCGATATGTACAACTCCAATATGTCCTTAAAATGTCTTCAGTTAAATTGTTTACATTTAAGGCCATGCAAACTCTTAAATGGTACAAAAAGTCTAAATTATAAGAGGTCTTTGGGGACGGAAAGACAAGAATTGCTATATGGATTAATATGACGATTAAACTTCAAAAGGCTACGATTTCACTGAATAAACTTGAGCGCTGCAGTCAGCTTTGTGTACTGCGGTTACCGGGGAAACCACTATATTTCTGCCATTCCGAAAGCGCCTCCTGCTGGCAGAGAACGAATCTGCTTTCTCAATAAGCCCTTCTGCTATTTCTGCTACATATTTTTAAATGTGAACCAGCGGATCGACAAAAAGCTAATGCATTATAAAAATCTAAACAATTAAAAAATAATAAAAATAAAAACACAAAAAAATTCTAAAACTTTAAAATTAAAATTAAAACAGCAAATGTAAAAATAAAAAAAGAATTCACAATATTAATAAAATATAATAAATATTATAAAAAAGTTATATTAAAAAACATTAAAATTAAAACAAAAAATATATAAAAATAAAATCTAATTAAAAATATAAAAAAATAGTAAAAATAACAAAGGCACAAAAACTTCTAAAACTTTAAAAATTAAAATCAAAACAGCAAATATAAAAATAAAAAAATAATTCACAATATTAATAAAAATATAAACATATTATAAATGCATGCATTACTATAGTGAAGATGTTGGAGCAGGAACGTCATGGAACAGCAGATCAGTGTTGCGAAACATTCCAGACCTTCACTTCTGACTTCCTGAAACACTGAAAAAGAGCAGAAAGTCCCCCGGTGGCGTCTGTGTTTGACCGGCGCTCATGGCTCTGGACGCTCTGATCCGGATCTTTGCCATCATGTCAGGTGAGTGATATTTACTCTGTCTGCTCAGTACATTTGTTACATTAAATCAGCATATGATCAGAATCATGATGCATGATCATTTTTCTCTGAACATCATCTCAGCACTAACCCATCTGATTAACATGCTCTGTGGTCTCACATCATTAAATGCATCTGAACACATGTGTAATATGTGTAATATGTGCAGTAAATGCATGTGGAGTAAAGGTGCATGTGCTCATTCAGACTCAGACGCTCAGATGCGTAACTTCCCTGTTTCCATATTTTGATCCTGTTGTGAAATAATCTGTTCTGTGCTGATCTGAAGACACATGTGATGACAAGGACCATAAAAGGACAATGTTTTACAGTCTTTTCAATCATTAGAGTTGGACATTTTAATGAGCAGCTGTTGGTGATGAGATGTGAAATATTATCAGAATTAATTTTGCTCCGTTAATGTTAAAGTTTTGTGTATTTAATTTGTTTTTAGAGCATTATTGGTAAGACTTTACAACAAGGTCTCATTAGTTAACGTTAGTTAATGCATTAATTAACAATGAGTGATTTGATAACATTAGATAAGCAATTTGTTAAGGTTAATAAAAAATTGTTCATTGTTCATGTTAGCTCAGGTCTATTAAATAATATTAACGGATACAACATTTCCTTTCAATAATGTATATGTTTTTATAATTAACAAATGTTGAGAAAGTATTTTTCGCTGTTAGTTCATGTTAATTTTAACTAAATGTATAATGAAAACGGAAAATATATTAAAACTAATTCATAATATTAATAAATACTATATAGACATATTTAAAAATGACTAATAAAATTGACAAAAACACTAAACGAAAACTACAAAAACTTTAACTGAAATGAAAATGAAAAGGGAAAATCTTAATAAAAAGACATCTTCTAAACGTCTATTTGACATCTGATAGGAAACGTCCTATAAATGTATTGCAGATGAGCAAACACTCTGAAAAATACGTCTTGCAGATGTAATGCAGACGTCAAAGTTGTGCTGTCAGGGTTGCAATTGACTCAGTTGAGTCTTGTTGAGGACGACACTGAAAAGTTTGTGCAAAGAAATGAAAAGTGTGCGAACGCAACAAGAAAATGTCAGAAATGGTGATTCTAAGCACATTAGAGGCACCGGTGAACTGATTCGGTCCCAGTGTGAATTCAGTTGAGAAATACAGTGAATGTTGACAACAAAATAAAACATGAGGAGGAAGCTTTAGGAGAGGAAACGGGTAAAAATGTGAGCATGAGTCAGACGAGCACATGGTGAACTTTACATTACATCGAAGATGCTGAGCTAAATAAATTATAGATAAATAATAACTTTTTTGATAAATATGACATATTAAAAACAACTTTAGATGCTTTCTTATTTAAAAAATGTTAGTTTAGTTTAGTTAAAAGGTTTGAGGTTTTTTTTGTGCATGGTGATTAAAAGCAGCTTCTCTGTAACTCTACTTTATCTGCCATAACTCTTTTCCATACTGCACGCATTACTATAGTGAAGAACAACAAAATGTCAAAAATTTTAAGTCAAATTAAAATGAAAACGGAACATTTAAGAAATAAAAACTTATTGAAAATATTATTAAAAACTATATAGACATTTAAAAAAACTAATAAAAATGGCAAAAACAAAATTTCTACAACTTTAACATTAAAACGAAAAAATATATAAAAATAATAACTAATTCAAAAAAATTATTTGAATAAAATTAAAAGAGCAAATGTAAAAATAAAAAAAGAATTCATAATATTAATAAAATATAATACAAAAAACTTTAACTGAAATGAAAATGAAAAGGGAAAATCTTAATAAAAATGAATAATATTAACAGATACAACTTTTGATTTTAATAATGTATTAGTAAATGTTGGAAATACATTTAATTACGATTAATAAATGCTTTAGAAGTAACATGAAAATATATTTAAAAATAAATCAAAATATATAGACATTTGAAAACAACTAATAAAAGCGACAAAAACATACAAAATTACTAAAAAGTTATTAAAATGAAATTAAAACTTAAATTTCATTCTTAGTTCATGTTGACAAAATTTAAAATTAAAAAATTAAAATGTATAGTATTCAAAATATTACATAGACATATTCAAAAGCAACTACAAATGACAAAAACACAAAATACTGAAACTTTAACTGAAATGGATAAGAAAATGGAAAATATAAAAATTAATAATATTAACAGATACAACTTTTGATTTTAGTAAAGTTTTAGTAAATGTTGGAATTAACATTAACTCAGATTAATAAATGCTTTAGAAGTATTTTTCACTTAGTTCTTGTTAACTTTAAATGTAAAGTGAAAACAGAAACTATATAAAAACTAAAAAAACTAATAAAAATTATGAAAACAAATTTTTTTTAAACTTTAATGGAAATTAAAAAGAAAATGGAAAATATATAATAATAAAAACTATTTAATAATATTAACAGATACAACTTTTAATTTTAATGTATTAGTAATGTTGGAATTAAAATGAACTAAATTTAATAAATGCTTTAGAAGTATTTCCATTGTTCATTCGTGTTAACTTTAAATTTAAAATGAAAAGTTACTAGCATGTTGTTAACATGATTAGCAAACTTATTGAAAATATTATTAAAAACTATATAGACATTTAAAAAAACTAATAAAAATGGCAAAAACTAAATTTCTACAACTTTAACATTAAAACGAAAAAATATATAAAAATAATAACTAATTCAAAAAAATTATTTGAATAAAATTAAAAGAGCAAATGTAAAAATAAAAAAAGAATTCATAATATTAATAAAATATAATACATATTATAAAAAAGTAATATTAAACAACTTTAAAATTAAACCAAAAAAAATATATAAAAATAAAATTTAATTCAAAATATTAAAAAATAGACATTTAAAAAATAATAAAAACACAAAAAAAATCAAAAACTTTAAAATTAAAATTAAAACAGCAAATGTAAAAATAAAAAAAGAATTCACAATATTAATAAAATATAATACATATTATAACCATTTTCTTTTTAATTTTAATGTATTAGTAATGTTGGAATTAAAATGAACAAAATTTAATAAATGCTTTAGAAGTATTTCCATTGTTCATTCGTGTTAACTTTAAATTTAAAATGAAAAGTTACTAGCATGTTGTTAACATGATTAGCAAGTTACTAGCATGTTGCTGTCATGATTCTAGCATAATTAGCATGTTAATAGCATGATGCTAGCATGTTTCTAGCATATTTAGCAAAGTTGCTAACATGTTTCATGATTAACAAGTTACTAGCATGGTGTTAAATGAAAAGTTACTAGCATGTTGTTAACATGATTAGCAAGTTACTAGCATGTTGCTGTCATGATTCTAGCATAATTAGCATGTTAATAGCATGATGCTAGCATGTTTCTAGCATATTTAGCAAGTTGCTAGCATGATTAGCAAGTTACTAGCATGTTGCTGTCATGATTCTAGCATAATTAGCATGTTAATAGCATGATGCTAGCATGTTTCTAGCATATTTAGCAAGTTGCTAGCATGATTAGCAAGTTACTAGCATGTTGCTGTCATGATTCTAGCATAATTAGCATGTTAATAGCATGATGCTAGCATGTTTCTAGCATATTTAGCAAGTTGCTAGCATGATTAGCAAGTTACTAGCATGTTGTTAGCATGATTAGCAAAGTTGTTAACATGATTAACAAGTTAATAGCATGTTGCTAGCATGATTCTAGCATGATTAGCAGGTTACTAGCATGAGTCTAGCGTGATTAGCATGTTACTAGCATGATGCTGCCATGTTTCTAACATGTTTAGCAATTTGCTAACATTTTGTTAGCATGCTTAGCAAATTGTTAGCATGTTTCTAGCAAGATTACCACGTTACTAGCATGGTGTTAGCATTAATAGCAAGTTTACTAGCATGTTTCTAGCATGATTAGCAAGTTACTAGGAATTTGGTTAGCATTTTTCATGCATGATTAACAAGTTACTAGCATGTTTCTAGCATGATTAGCAAATTACTAGCATGTTGTTAGCATGTTTCAATGCTAATCCAGCTAAAACCAGTTGATTCAGTAAAAAAAAATGCTAAAAACTAGCTAAGACCAGCCTGGCCTGCTAAAAAAGTGGCCAAAACCACTTTAAAACCAGCTTGGGGGACCAGCCAAAGCAGTCAGTCAGCTTTTTTTTCAGTAGGGAGTTGTTAAGCTTTGCTATAGCATTAGACAGCTTAAATACACCATAAGTCTTATTGTAGAAAAGTTTTCACCCCCTCAATGAAAGTCTATGGGATTTTAGGTGGTTTTGATAGTCTGGTTTACGAAAACCGTAAGCCGGATCAATTAGAGAAGATACAGCAACCCGAGCCAGACCAGTCTGAAGGTCTGACCCGAGTTTGGTGGCTGTAGCTTTAAAAATCTAGGATGAGATACATTTTAAAATTTGGTCTCAGAAGAAGAAGAAGAAGTTGAAAGAGGATTTTCAAGCCAACTTAATGACAAAAAAAATAAAAGGTCTGACCCGAGTTTGGTGGCTGTAGCTTTAAAAATCTAGGATGAGATACATTTTAAAATTTGGTCTCAGAAGAAGAAGAAGAAGTTGAAATAGGATTTTCAAGCCAACTTAATGACAAAAAAAAAATAAATAAATCTAAAACTGTAGTGTAAACTAAAATAAAAGTATTACTGTAATAACGTATTAGCATATGTTGAAATGAAAATGATTAATTGATGTTTTTTTAATTAAAATTGCAAATACATTTAATTTACGGCAACTGATTTGCAGTTTGTAACATTAACGCAGTGGTTTTGTTTTGTCTGTTCAGCGTGTGTGTTTGGGACGAGTGCTGCGGTCTCTCTGTCTGTCCCGGGACGAGTGCTGGCTCTGGAGGGCTCGTGTCTCGTCATCCCCTGCTCCTTCAGCCCTGCTCCGGCCGCTCAGACGATGCAGCTTCGCCTCATCAGATCCTCCGCGCCGTTCTTCATGATGCTGAGGAAGCCGGTGTTCAGCTCTGAGCGCGGCGACGCCGTTCATCCCGACTTCAGAGAGCGAACGGCGCTCGCGGGGAACATCAGCGCCGGCGACTGCTCCGTCAGCATCAGCAGCGTCCGCAGAGACGACCAGAACACATACGAGCTGCAGATGAGGGAGCGGGGTCAAAGGGCATGGCCTGCGGGCAGCAAGGTCAACCTCAGCGTGACTGGTATACTCATGTTGCTCTGATGTGATGCATGTTATTATCATTAACTAAAGCCAGAAAAAAACAGTAAAAATGTTACTATAAAATAACGACTTCAACATTAAGACAACATTTCAAATTTTCATTTAGTTTAACTTGAAGTAATAAAATAACTAAAGCTGATTAGTAGTTAGTAGCTGATTAGAAATTAATATATGCATATAAAAAAATAGAAATTAAAAAGGACAAAAACACAACGAATTATTGTAGCTAAAATTAAAACGGAAATGGAAAATATAAAAATAAAATTAAAATTCTATATATATATTTTTAGAACTAATAGAAATGGCAACAACAACAAAATCTCTCCAACTAACTAAAATTGAAATGAAAACAGTAAATATAAAAATTTAAAACAAACTCAAAATATTACAAGAACTGTGTATACATATTTAGAAAATAAAACACAACAAAAGGACTAAAATGAAAATGGAAAAAATATAAAAATAAAAACTTACTGAAAATATTACTAAAAACTACATAAAAATAATAAATGGCAAAAACAACAACATTTCTAACATTTTAAGTCAAATTAAAATGAAAACGGAACATTTAAGAAATAAAAACATTGAAAATATTATTAAAAACTATATAGACATTTAAAAAAACTAATAAAAATTGCAAAAACAACATTTCTACAAATTTAAAATTAAAAGGAAAAAGATATTAAAATAAAATCTAATTCAAAATATAAAAAATAGACATTTAAAAAATAATAAAAAATAACAAAAACACAAAAAAACTCTAAAACTTTAAAATTAAAATTAAAACAGCAAATGTAAAATTAAAAAAAGAATTCACAATATTAATAAAATATAATACATATTATAAAAAAGTAATATTAAACAACTTTAAAATTAAAACATAAAAATATATTAAAATAAAATCTAATTCTAAATATTAAAAAATAGACATTTAAAAAATAATAAAAATAACAAAAACAAATTTTTTTACAACTTTCAAATTAAAATGAAAACAGCAGATATAAAAATATAAAAATAATTCATAATATTATTACAAATTTAAACATATTATACAAAAGTGATAAATTAATAAAAAAAATAATTAATAAAAAAAGACAAAAATGCACAACAAAATGACTAAAACTTTAAAATTAATATGAACATGGAAAATATAAAACAAAAACGAATTCAAAAATATTAATGAAAACTGTAAAAACATAAAATTAAAAATAAAAGCTAACTCAAAATATTAATTCAAACTATAATAGTACATTAATGATACTAATTCTATAGATATATTTAAGAACTAATAGAAATGACAAAAACAACAAAATCTCTAAAATTGAAATGAAAACAGTAAATATAAAAATAAAAAACAAACTCAAAATATTAAAAGAACTGTATAGACATAATTTCAAAATAATAATAATAATAATGACTAAAACACAAAAAAAGGACTAAAATTAAAATGGAAAAAACTGTAATAAAAACTATATAGACATTTAAATAAACTAATAAAAATTATAAAAACACAACAAGATTCCTACAGCTTTAAAACTGAAATGAAACAATATAAAAATAAAATCTAATTCAAAATATTAATAAAAATAGACATTTAAAAATAATAAAAATTACAAAAGCACACAACAAAATTTCTAAACCTTTAAAATTAAAATTAAAACAGCAAATATAAAAATAAAAAATAATTCACAATATTAATAAAAATATAGACATAAATAATAAATTAATAAAAAAGACATTTAGAAAAATAGCAAAAATGCACAACAAAATGACTTTAAATTAAAATTAAATTGCCAAATACAAAACAAACACTACAAACTGTATAGACAAAAAAAAAGTAAAAATTCCAAAAATAAAATGTCTAAAACATTACCTACAATGACAATGTGAAATATAAAAATAAAAGCTAACTGTAATAGTGCATTAATGGTCCTAAAACAGCAGTGACGTGTTGTTTGGGGGGATCTAATCACACAGAATGTGTATGTGTTTTGCTCATGAGGTTCGCCGGAGCCGCCGCAGCTCACAGACCCGGGGCCGGTGAAGGAGGGCCAGCGGCTCGTGTTGAACTGTTCGGCGAGGCTCAGCTGTCCGTCCGATCGGCCTCGTCTGCTGTGGAAGTGGGAGCGCGGCGATCCGGCCGGCAGCAGCATTCACGGAGACACGGAGCTGCAGCGGGACACCGGCTGGTTACCGGTGCTTCAGACCAGCCTCGTCTTCACCGTCCCGCGGCACACAAACCCCAGAGTGAGATGTGAGCTGGAGTATCCCAACAACAGACGATCCTCGGCCACCCGCGAGATCCTCGTCCACTGTGAGAAACCCTCATCACTAACAAACCCAGTTCAAACCAGAATCTCACTGCTGTGTGCCAGAAACTGTTGTGATATTAGCTGATATGACACAGCAGTTCTCAACCTTTCGGAGTCAAAGACCTTTTTATTTACAGAAACTATGAGTGGCAATTTAAATTAACTCAATTAAACATTTAAGTATTTATATTGATGTTGTAAATTATATTTTTAATAATGATTATATGATTCATTCTAGAGGTTTCAATAACTGAATGTTCTTCAGGGTTTAGACTTTTTATTGTCAGTGGACTTTTCTGGTCATTTGTAACTATATTTAATTATTTTTTACTATTTAAATGTATTTTTTATTATTAAAATAATTTTGCTCGTCATATAAATACATATAATTATTTAAATATTATAATTATATTTATAATAATAATAACAACATTTAATTATGATAATAAAATTAAAACAATTAAATTCCTGAAGTTTTAATAACTGGATATTCGTCAGCATTTCCATGATTTTTGTAGTTATTTGTGACTGTATTTATTTTTTATTCTTTAAATTGTTTCATTATATTTTGTTATTTTTTATAATGATTTTAAGATTTTTTTGCCTGTAGCAATTTCAGTACTTTTACATTTTTACATTACATTTTACTCATAATAAAATGTTTAAATATTATAAATAATATTTGTAATAATTATTTAATTACAAGTAATTTCAATAATTACAATCTGGAAGTTTTAATAACAGAATGTTCTTCGGCGTTTACACTTTAATTTACCAATGACTGTAATGATGTTTTGTACAAACAAACCATGATGTTTGTAGTTATTTGTGGCTATATTTAATTATTTTTATTATTTTAATTATTTTAATATATTTTACAATTATTTTAAAGATTTTTTTGACTACAAATAGCAATTTCAATGAATTTGCTAATAATATAATTATTATTGAAGTATTATAAATTATATTAATAATAATAACAATATTTAACTAAAATAATAAAATAAAATAATTATACAGTATTAATAATAACAAATATTAAAATGAATAAATACAATTAAAATAATTAAATTCTGGAAGTTTCGATAACTGAATGTTCTTCAGGGTGTACATTTTTATTTCCAATTAATTAAAAAAATATTAATTATTTTATTAATTTCCACAATTTTTCCAGGTCTAAAAGTCACACTTTTAAAATTCCCTCATATATCCACGTTTTCCGAAACCATGAGAATCTGAAATTAAAAATGAGGGAACAAATTAAAATAAGAACTATTGTATATCAGCTTGCATCTTGATTTTGAGTCGTTTAGCTGGTTTTAATCTAGATTCTGCTTGTGTTTGTGGTCTCAGTTCCTCCCAGAGACGTGTGGGTTCAGGTGCTGAGCGCTTCGGTGCGTCTCGGAGGAAACGCTTTGCTCCTCTGCTCCTGTAAGGCAGACCCGCCGGTCTCTGAGTACCAGTGGTGGAGCGTCCAGTCTGGAAACACACAGATCCTGCCCAAACGCACACACACCGTCCGCATCTATAACATCAGCCGAGACACGCGCGTCCAGTGCAGCGCTGCAAACCCACTGGGACGCGCCTCGTCCCGCCCGACGGCCCTCAACGCGCTGTGTGAGTCAATCACACATATGCACTCGTTAGTTCTGCTTTGCTTATATACGCTTTGTGTTGAAGGTTCCAGTCCCTTATCTGTTACTGTTACAGTTCTCCCATCATCTCATATGTGACCCTGGACCACAAAACCAGTCATAAGGGTCAATTTTTCGAAACTGAGATGTATGCATCAGCTGAAAGCTGTTGGTTGATTGATTGATTGATTGATTGGTTGGTTGATTCGTTGGTTGCTTGATTCGTTGGTTGGTTGATTGATTGATTGATTGATTGGTTGGTTGATTGTTTGATTGATTGGTTGATTGATTGATTGATTGATTGATTGATTGATTGGTTGGTTGTAGGGCTGCACGATAAATCGCATGTGATATTTAATGCGCATCTTGTCAGAAAGCCGGTTCTGTAATCAGTGGTAAATCTCCATCACGTGGTTGATTGATTGATTGATTGGTTGGTTGGTTGGTTGGTTGGTTGGTTGATTGAGTGATTGGTTGGTTGGTTGGTTGGTTGGTTGGTTGGTTGATTGATTGATTGGTTGGTTGGTTGGTTGGTTGGTTGGTTGGTTGATTGATTGGTTGGTTGGTTGGTTGATTGATTGATTGATTGATTGGTTGATTGATTGATTGATTGATTGATTGGTT